ACAAAAAACAAAAAACATTAAACAGTAAAAAGTTCATAATAAGAACGAGCAGCGTTGTTGTCCGACTGCGACAGAGAACAGAGTAATGAGCCGTGACGTCACGATGATAGAGAGAAGCCAACACTTGCATGTAGTTGTACGATGGCAGCCGTGTTCAACTAACAGTCGACAGTGATGTGTGAAGCGGCAATCAGCGTTAAACGGTATGCTGTAACGTCACACGCACGCACGCACGCACGCACGCACGCACGCACGCACGCACGCACGCACGCACGCACGCACCCGTGTGCGAACACACGCATACACGCACCTGCATGCGAACACCCGCATATACGCGCATACGCGCGCGCACTGATAGTTCTATATTCATACCAGATTGCAAACAATTTCCCGTTTTACAGAAAACAACTTCCATTCCCTGCACAGATATAGTACATGGAAAACTTCAATAATTAACCGGCTAAAACGTTGATAACAAACGCTTTTAGACAGTTTCGCATCCGGATCCGGCATGATTTCGCCGGTCAATCGGATTATATGCGACTAGACAATAAATCTTTTCCACGGTTGTTTCTCTATATTAACGCTAATCCTCACAACTTCCCATAGGGAAATCAGTACGTAAAAAACGAAGTGCAGCTATATATGGGGAGTGGGATGATGGCACGGATCGCAGTGACCACACACGTATATAGAGCTGTTACAGTGGATCCTTCTGTATAGTGCTAGAGTGCGTTATATATAGCAGCAATATTGTACGGCATGCAGCAGGCGACGTACGCTCTGTACGGTCGGCCCGACCCCCCGGATCACCGACTGAATACGTCGTGGAGTACTCGCATCGCACATGACACGTACACGTGTAACGTTTGTCTGAATCAGAGGAGTGTTCAAGTCTCAAATTTACATACACCGTGGTTCCGTAACAGAATATACAGAGAATTGTAAAATTACATTCGCTGCACGCGTCCGGTTTCAAAAACAGAATAATAATCGCGCTTCTTTTCTTGGAAAACGGGAAAGCAGAGCTGGGCAGGTGCTGCGTAGCGGTGAAGGAGGTACATGCGGTGGGTGGGCGGGTGTACGGTATGCAGGCACGGAGGGCGCAGGTACTACGAGGTCGGGTGTGGTTATGAAGTAGAGGCAATAGGCGATGAGACTCAATCAACTACTCAGATCGTAAGAGCGCGCACGAAAATTTCCAGCTAAATATAGAAAAGTCTAAAATCAATTCTTTCTTCACTACTGTTAGCAATGCTATATACTTTATAAATTGAAAGCAACGCGTTTAATGGATTTTTCCCAACCCTTCTTTATACACATGCATGAAGTTGCACACTTCGATTAAAATACGCGAATTAAATTCGCGATTCAGTTATTCTCCAGTATTGATCAGTGAACACGCCATAGACAAACTAGATGAAAGGAAATTGACAATTTAAAATAAGTTAGAAACCCCCTACCCTAAATCATTGCGTTTTTCCGCTTCAGTAAATTAAAGGCACGTTGCACATCGAAAAGGGACGCAATCTAGCGTCTATTAGATATATAATTAGTGACATAAACTCCGACAAAACATATCTCCGAAGAAATGCTAAAGACGTCCCTGGAGCGGAGCGCCCAAGCGTCCTCCGCGTCAAGCATCTGAGAAACACTCGCTGGCTCACGGCTGCATGTTATTATGATTATAACATAACTCTTTCTACGAAAGGCTAGCAAGCAGCAACCATACGACGATGACGATAGTAATTATGAAAATTAAACAGGAATCTTTATGAGAGAAAAACTACTAGCAGTGACTATATGACTATACGCAAGGGTTAATAATGACAAATATGTGTCATTATTATGTCATTATTATGTAATTAATTTATTATGTACATATGTATTACGTAATGTATGCATTATTTATTATTGTCATTATGTATGTAATTATGTAATTATTATGTCATTATTATGTAATTATTATGTCATTATTATTATTATGTTATTAATATTAGTCATATTTGTGAATAAATAAATAATTGTTATTATTAACCCCTGCTATACGGTTGACGTTAGTACACAGGGAATTAATTATCTTTACGCTGGTAAAACTGCTAGCAGTGACTATACGACTTGGTTGACCTTAGTACACAGAGAAGTAATTATCTTTATACGGATAAAACTACTAGCTTTCGTTCGTACTCAAAATTAAACACTTCCCAAAGGCTTAAAGGTACGCGGAAGCATTTTTTTGCTAGCCAGGGAACGTGGTACATTTATTTACAATAAGAAATAATACATTTTGAGCGCGACGGCCAGTTAATGCATTTATTTTTACAGTGACAAAAAATTTATAATTCCGAGACCGTTGCCAATGATTTAGCTTCGCTGCGGGAAAAATGTATTTTTAGCGGAGTAAAATTCTGAGCTCGACGTTACCGATGTACGCACGCACGCACGCACGCACGCACGCACGCACGCACGCACGCACGCACGCCGAACGATGTGAACGTACGAGCGTGGTGCGGAGTATAATTATATACTGCAGTCAATATTAAGCGACCCTTCGCGACAATGCAGCTCTACGCGTACCGCCCGCACACGCGTTGCTACTACACCGACCATCAGACACTGCCGCAGCAACCGCAGCCGCCTTCCGCGTAAAGAGATACAGCGCCAAAACGTGCGTGCGTGCGTGGGTGCGTGCGTGCGTGCGTGCATGCCGACCGCGCCTTGCTGCCCTCGTCAGGTGGTTCTGGTCAGCCATGCTGGCTCGGCTGGCGTGTTATGGCAATCACGTACAAGCGCTGCATCGCTCCGTTACCGCTCGTTATAGCACAAACATATTCGAATATTGCTACAACAAGCAGGGGAAGCCCGCCCACCGTCTCCTCCCCCACGACTCTGCTACTAAAGCTCTGCAGTGCAGTTACCACGAAGCGGGCGTTAACCCATGCGTTAACTGCGGTGCATTAACCACAGTGTATTAATCACAGCGCATTTTAACAACAGTACATTAACCACAGTTCGGCAACCACAATGCATTTACCAGAGTACGTTAACACAACAGTGCCTTAACCGTGCCGTGTTAACCACGATACGTTAACCGAGACAGATTAACCACACTGCATTAACCAAAGTGCACAGTCCGTTAACCACAGTGCATTAACAGCAGTGCATTAACCACAGTACATTAACCGCAGTGCATTAACCACAGTACTTTAACCGCTGTGTATTAACCACAGTACATTAACCGCAGTACATTAACTGCCGTGCATTAACCGCAGTACATTAACCGCAGTGCATTAACCACAGTACTTTAACCGCTGTGTATTACCCACAGTACATTAACCGCCGTGCATTAACCGTGCCATGTTAACCCCGGCACGTTAACCGACGCCCATTAACGAGGGTGGGTTAACCGCGGGCCCGGGTAATAATTAACCACAGATCGGTGCGCGATACTACACACGGAGGGGTTTACAACTTTATTACCAAATGCATGTATATACCGCCATTCGCCACACAAGCCGTGAGGAACCCCCTCAGCGGAGCCTCGGCCGGCCTCAGTGAAGGTCGTCTGCTTGCGACCTCAGCGTCGGCAGCCGAAGCTCAGCCGCCAGCCCGCAACTTTAGACCACCGTCGGTTTATTTTCGAAACGATGTATCGCATGAGCGGCGCCGATGTGGCGAGCGTGGCCGTTGACTCTTGCCATGCAGGCTGCGACCTGGGAGTGCGGACGAGCGGCTGATTTCGCGGCCCGGGCAGACGGAGCAGAGCAGCGCGGGCATGCAGACAGACAGTGGTAATTTCTTTGCTGGTAAGCTCCCCGGCGCGCCGTCAGCTGTCCAGCGCTTGGCTAAGCAGCGGCGGCACGGGCTTCTTTCTCACCCCGCGACAGGTGGGGGGTCAGCGGCAGGAGACGCGAACGCTTTTATGAGCTTGCGTGAGTGCGTTCGCGTGCGAATAAGTGCGTGTTAAGTCGGTCTGGGTGTGTGGGGATAGCTAGAGATGACAGCCGTAGCAGGCTTAGCGCTAGCAACAGCAGCAGTACGAACAACAACAGCAACGACAACAGCAGCGGCGGCGGCAACAACAACAGCAACAAAAACAATAACAACAGCAGCAGCAGCAGCAGCAACAGCAGCGCTAGCAGCAAAAGCGGCGGTTGTAGCAACAGCAGTAGCACCACCACCACCAGAAGCAGCAGTAACATCAGTAGCTGCAGCAGCAGCAACAACAACAACAACAACAACAACAGCGGCGCTAGCAGCAACAGCAGTAGTAACGCTAGCACAGCCAGCAGCAGCAGTGGCAGTAAGAGTAACAGAAGTAGCAGCAGTGACAGTAACAGTAACAGAAGCAGCAGCAGTAGTAGTAACAGCAGCAGCAGCAGTAGTAGTAAAAGCAGCAGTAGTAGTAAAAGCAGCAGCAGTAGTAGTAACAGCAGCAGCAACAACAGTCTCCACGGCCGCGGCCGTCCGTAACACACGTTTGGCTGCACTCAGGATTTAAGTGCGAGCGGTAAGATGTTTGCTGACTCGAGTAGGTCTACACATTACATTAACCGCGTGGCCTCGAGTTTCAGCAGAGAGTGCCCTCTTCAAATTCTGATTTTAATGTCATGACATCGTGCATACCTCGTCAAAGGGGGCAGCGTTCAGCGGCTATTTAATGAGGCGAATTTTGCACAATAAAGCTACGGCACGTAGTAGCAATACAGCTAAGTTGGAGTCCCACTTCTTCTAAACTAATGCAAATAGAATAACGCTACATTGTAGAGGAACACACGGAGCAAATCATTTCACATTTGCAGCTGTTCTAAACTATATACACTCCCGCACACACACGTGCACAAGCACGCGGATACACGCACGCGCGCACACACTGACGTACAAACACACGCACGTGCGTACGCACACGCGCGCACATACACATAACTTTGATCTTGCTACCTACAAACTGCGTGAAGCCCTGACCATGTTACAATAACGTGGCATTATAATGAGCTTACCTGTACGTTTCCTGTCCTGCTCTATCTGATAGTAGTCATGCCAGTCAATTTTTTTCATTTCAATCTTGCCATCTTCGTAGGGCCTCTAAAATAATACCAAGAGAATTAAAACAAGTACATAACCCCCGACTCCGCGTTTAGGGGTACAGATCTAAAGGTCTACCTATAGTAGCACGACTACATCGTAGTATGTCACCTAAAGATCAGGTTACCTACATCATACTCCATTAGAAGCCCTAACCGAACTCTACCCATTATCCCTCATAATCAGCTTACACGGCTTTAACAGGGGCTCTCATATAGCACCTATGACAGTGACATATAGCTTCCAAACAGCATCCATTACGGATTGCCTCATTACATAACACCTTACAAAGGGTTTTGCTGATCCCACAGCATCAGTGCACCACTCAGGGCTTCACTACAGAAGCCCTTTCTCCATTTGGCATGTACCTTCAGAAAAAACGTTTGCAAAGCATCTCGCAGATGAGGCCATTCTATGCAGGCTGCTGCTGCTGCTGCTGCATCTCTGTTTTTGAGGATTTAATAGCGAGGATTTCTCGGGGCAACGTTCAATGTAGCACGCACACACGAACGCACGCACGCACGTACACACGAACACATACACACACGCGCACGCGCAGACAGGCAGACACATGTACGCACACGCACACACACACACGCACACACACGCACGCGTACACACACGCCCGCGCACCCGCGCGAACACGCAGGGCGGCACAGTCGCACACGCAATGACACACGCACTCTCGCACACGGGCACGCGCCCGCACGCCCGCACGCACGCACGCACATATAGGCCATCTATTCTAGGTGCTGTACCGTCATTCATTTTTAATCGCACAGTGGGCTCAATAGCGACACGCATTACGCGTTTGCCTCCTCGTGACGAAAGCTTACAGAGCGCTGCCGCCACATAAATGAAGCGAGCAGCCAGCCGTGGGTTGCCGACGGCGATGCCTCCCCCACCAATAAAGCGATCGACGGCCGTCCGCACGGCGCCGTTAGGTGTCCGCACGCCGTAGCGTGGTGCATGCAATCGATGCGCCGAGGGGCAATAACGGGGCATGCCGCAGCAGCAGCAGCAGCAGCAGCAGCAGCAGCAGCAGCAGCAGCAGCAGCAGCAGCAGGGTCTATGCAACAGGGTGCAGAGTTTCAGCAACAAACTCCTGAGCTCATTTATACGCCCGCCGTGTTATAAAACACTATATCCTGTACGGGCGGGGTGGAGGGAATCTGCAGCCATAACAGTGGCATCCACCGAGGAAGCCTTGCAACAGATTCCCTCAATCAGCAGCAGCAGCAGTAGCCACAGCAGCAGCAGCAGCAGTAATAGCAGCAGCAGCAGCAGCAGCAGTAATAGCAGCAGCAACAGCAGCAGCAGCAACAGCAGCAGCAGCAGTAGCCACAGCAGCAGCAGCAGCAGTAATAGCAGCAGCAGCAGCAGCAGCAGTAATAGCAGCAGCAACAGCAGCAGCAGCAGTAGCCACAGCAGCAGCAGCAGCAGCAGCAGTAATAGCAGCAGCAGCAGTAATAGCAGCAGCAGCAGCAGCAGCAGCAATAGCAGCAGCAGCAGTAATAGCAGCAGCAACAGCAGCAGCAGCAGTACTAGCAGCAGCAACAGCAGCAGCAGCAGTAATAGCAGCAGCAGCAACAGCAGCAGCAGCAGCAACAGCAGCAGCAGCAGCAGCAGCAGTAAGAGCAGCCGAGAGCTCTTTGGTTTTGGCAAACGGATAAACATAAGACAAGTAGGTGCAGCTTGCGGGTTGCTGTAATCTCTCGCGTCTAGCGGTGAGCGGAAGAGTAAACCTACTCTATACCGTGTATCCTACGCATCAGTGTTGGGAAGCAGACCACTTCCACCTAGTAACTATGAGTCTATGACCCAGCCCGTGCCCGTCTTAATTACCATGTCGTGGCAGTATATTCAGACATAACCTCCAAAATAGCTACAAGAACATATAAACCCTAAAAATGCCTTCATGCATGCGCTCTTGATTACAGCTAATACGGATGACTCATCTGTTTTGTAGTTCTGAGAGAAGAGAATGACGCTCATCCTAGTGAGCGGTAAATCTATGTGAGTATATACGAGCTGCACACATAACCGCAATCGACTCATCCATTACAAATTACAGTTACGATTAATTTGCATATAAATCCATCGCATTATTAGAATGAAAATAGTGGAACATATAGTGGAAAAATACAGGACAGCATTGAAGCATGCGCCATTACGCGTTAAATACATTACTAACAATGCACGTCGCAGTGATTTATAAAAGCTGCACAGCTATAAGCCCTAATTGTTATTAAAATTTATGTAATGGTCTTTGCATGCTGACCACTTTCTTGATTACCTGCATCTAAGAAACGAGCTTCTGAACGGGCGTTTTTACGCACTCTTTATTGCAAACGTCTATGGTAAACGCACCGTAAGGCCGTCTCTTTAGCTGAATAAATCAACTTTAACACGCGATATGATGTGTGGCTCTCGCTGAAAGTATTGAATAGAAACGGTCCCGTCTAGTCGCTATACATTTTAAAGCGTGCATACATCGTGTTTACAGAGAAGTAAGTGCAGACTAACGTTGCTGTGAATAAATTTTTCAAAGACCTGTGAAATATTGCGTCGGTATTGTTTTTTCTAATCGACCAACCTAAAACTTAGAAGCTTCCACAATTCACGTTTTACAAACGCATAAAGTAAAATGCATAAAGTATTCATGTAATAAAATGTTTGAACTCAACCTAATTCACGCTAACTGAACAGGTTAGTGCATTCAAATTTAATGAAGAATCTTGAATGCAAAAAGTGAATTTCCAAGTCATTGCCTGACATCAACCAGCTGCCAGGGACCTGTTGAATGAGGTATTTCAAAATGGTTCAAACATTATAAAATATGTTATTATTATTATTTGATTAATTATTTTTGTTATTATTTTTTATTTGTTATTATTCATTATATATATATATATATTCAATTTAATGAATCTGATATTAAAGTCTGTATATCAACCGAATTGATACCTGTACACATTTTAAGCAATGCAGAAATTGAACATTATGGGACCATTTCTTGCTTATAGGTATATCATGATAAAATTTCAGTAGGATTCGTTACAGTTAGTATTTTGTCACTCAATCCGAGACATTCTAATTCGACCATACAAAATTCTCCTTTTGGTCCAAGACAAAACGACCAGAAAAGTTTGCGAATTTTTATCCTACACTAGCAACTTTCTTTCAGTTCAGGAATTTAATTTGCGTTTTTAGTACTTACTCTTTCATTCTCAAAAATTAATTGGAATAAACATGTATATTAACTGAGGATGCTTGACTATCGTGTAAGATAATCGGTTTAAACACCAATGGTAGATAGCTACTAAGAATATCCTGTCAAAATTAGATTATTTCGTGAGATCAAATTACAATAATATATAAATTTGAAGCTGATGAATTAATAATATATCCATATAGTCAGTAATGGTTTATGAATTTCACGATCACATTAGATTAATATATGCCATTTGCACATCTGTAGTTTGAAGTGAACTAGAGCATCCTGTACGCATTAGGTTTAATAAAACATTTAACGTTAACATTCTACTCCATAATGTACAACCATTAGTAATGGAAGTGGCCATCCGTCCATTATGATATTCAGTGACAAGAAGCAGACGGTTTAGATCGGTATCTAGATGAGGTTACTGACAGCGTGTGCACTAAACCATGAGCGCTGCTACAAGCTGCAACAAGCTTTCAACATGCTTCACATGCGCGTGAAACAACTTTGCCTGTGAGCAGCCGCGTAAAGACATTTTTAAGCGACAAACTGTTCGCGTAACAACAACAAGTTGTCGCACCTCACACGCGAAGCATGCCCCGTAGCAACATCGTCGGTGGATAACTCCTGAACTGGTAATGAATTTCGTGCAAAGGTATTTAACAAATGACTTGACCAGAGGGACACCAGCATGCCGGAGGGGGGGGGGGGTCATTGCCCCGGAAAAAGCCCTGAGAAAACAACTAACACGCGGCGGAGGCTGCAAATTGCGTGGGACGTACCTGGTAGGTCCGCAGCGGTGCTCTGTCCATCTCAGCGGCCATCTTCGACCTGTCGTCATGCCGACCATCTTCGTGCTGCTCAAAATCGTCGTCTAGGTGTCTTTTCGCGGCGCCCTCTCTTGGCAGTTTCCCGCCGCCACCGAGCGAGTTGTCGCCATCGTGGAACATGAACTTGAAGGTCAGCGGACCGGCAACGAGAATGACCACCGCAAACAGGAGGTACTTGACCACGGTCACCGAGTTTCGCTTCATGTCGTCGACTGTCCGAAAGCACGCGCGCGTGAAAGCGAGAACGTCAGCACGGAGGCGTTGCGCGGGGTAACGTGGGCCAGCAACGATCAACGCAGGTGGTCAGCTGGCGATACACATATTGGCTCGCGGGAATGGCACGGTGTCAGTGTCACAGTCACGCACACACTGTGTGATAAATGAGAAAAATCAGTGAAAAATTAGCCTCAGTCATGTTTAATACAGAGCATACACCTACACTATCACACATACACTACTAAGCACACAACCACTAGCACACATACACTAACAGTCTAGCACATATACACTATCACACATACACTATCACACATGCACTATCACACATACACTAGCACACATGCACTAGCACCAGGGAAAAAAATATAATTTATTTTTCGGGGGCTACTTTTCAAGCTCGCGTGCATGAAAATAGCACTCTAAAATTTCGTTTGCATAGAACTCTATGCAAATTTACGGGGGCTCTTTTTGGCATTTCCGGGGCTCTTTTTGGCATTTCGGGGGCTAAATCGCCCCGAGCCCCCGTATATTTTGTATACCGTGTATTTTGTTCACTGACTAGCACACATACACTATCACACATACACTATCACACATACACTAGCACACATACACTATCACATATACACTATCACATATACACTAGCACACATACGCTAGCACACATACGCTACCACACATGCACTATCACACATACACTAGCACACATACGCTACCACACATGCACTATCACACATACACTAGCACACATATACTATCACACATACACTAGCACACATACACTAGCACACACACGCTAGCACATGCACACGTGCACGCACCACACGCACGAATGCACGCATGCGCGCACACACAAAGAGAAGATGCATGCACACCATATAAGATATCACAGAGCTTTCTCAAGTAACCGATAGACATGTAGCTTTCATATAGCTACTAGTGAACTTATTCACTAGCTTCAGCTATTGCAACCTAAATGTTCATGAATGTTCACGATATAACAATGCTGGTTTCTTGGTGTACTGCATGTTCCACCACTTCAACAAGCAAACTATTGAATGTATACAAGAAATTACTATATAATATTAATAATAAGATTTAAATCATAGACACTTTCACCTTTTCAACAGTACACATTATTGCACTCATACAAGTGCAGAGGTATGCACATTCAGCAATCAGCCCAGACACATCTTTAGGCACTAAAAGAATAATTACCCGATAGAGCCATTGTAGGATTAATTAGTGAATATTTGAACTCGTAAATATGTAAAGTGTTAAAATGTAGTATTGTATCTTCTCCAAAGCAGTAATCAGCAAAGATCCCCAAGTCACTTACATAGAGCTGTACGAATAGAGAGGGCTGGGGCTAAACAGCAGTACTTAATGGTTGGCTGGCACTGGCACAGTAGTGGACTTAGGTTACTATGATGCAAGTTGGTTAGTCGTTGGCTGCATGACATTGGACCATTATTGGATGTATTCAAATACATAAAAATAAAGCCATCCCCAGCTGTTACACACGAATCTACATATGCTTCATGATTCATCAACGTTAGACCAAATGATTGCTTTGAGCAGATATGAACACCTAATTGCAGACACTTTGTTCCAGGTAAGGCCAAAACAAACTATATGTGTGGTTACCGTTACATGCCGAAAAAAAGTAGGGTAGGTAAGTAGGGAAAACATTTTATTTTCTTAAAATATTTTATTTACGAACCATGTCCGAAGGATGTGCGTTGTGGCCTTTTGAAGCAGGAACTGACCAATTCATTTTTTTTTTTTTACTTTAAAGAAAATTGACAATTAAAATGTTTAGGGTCGCTGGGAATAAATAGGGTCGGTCGGGAAACCATAACCACACCTATATTTTGTTTTGGCCTAACGACATTAATCAATTTAGCGTGTGAAAATCGCAAAGAAGTATGTAAACATTTTACATGTGATGACTGATACCTATTAATTAAATATTATATAATTTACCAGCTTGAAATAATATATCATTATGAATCGTTATATCCTAACAGTAAGTTCAACATCACTCCACCCTGCTGGAACCTGCTGGAACTAGACGGAGTGTACCACCTACCAATGCCAATGCAATGGCAATGTCCACCACAAGTTGAAAACTACAGTACAGGCAATGCACGTGTTGAACTTGTAGTAACCAACAAACTTTCATACAACTAAATCCCCTACTCGCGGCCCAATCCTAGTTTATCACCCCGGATTAGGGTTAGCACATCTGCCAACTATAATATATACCGGGGTCCCATACTAGGATTAAGCACTACTCACCACCGGTATGCAAAAAACAGCGAAAAGTTGGCCGTCACTCCCGAGTCCTTGGGTTCACTCTTTTTCACCCATTGGCGAAACGGCTACAACGAAAGGAGTAAAACTACATAAGTTGTGCACGTGAGTATACTAAATGCACGATAGCCAAATGGTGAACTTGACACAATGAGATGACAAAATTGTTATAGAATTTTATTGTTAACTGTAAAGACTCACCAATCTCCTCACGACGCCGATGCTTTCGTGGCTGGCGTGTGTTTGTACTTCCGCACTGTTATCGTCACGTGATAGCCATCAGTCAAAACTTTTTTTCTGGTGGCAGCACTTTCCAACGTGAAGACACGTGAGCATTCATTTCGAAAGGCATGAATTCGTAAACTTTACGAGTCGTAGAAATAACCAATATCACCTCTGTTCGATACATGTTAGTGACGAACTAGCGTGCCGTAAGCGTGTAAGTAATCACCATGCGGTACTTTCATAATAATGTCTACTTAAACGCACGCATTGTATAGTTTTAGAACTGTGAGTGTGGTGTTCGGACTGTTCCACTGACGTATTACCAACTCGGACAACTGACAACTAGGCCTACCGGCACAATCACAGGCACTTGGACCGTTTCAATAATAAAATGATGGTTAATAAATACAACTTGTCAGTAGCCTACTACTACAGTACCAGCAATAGTCTTAATGTTTGATTTGACCTAATAACTTCACTTCAACACCGTTAAATACACCGATGCAACACATAGCCCGCACGCCATTGTGCATGGCACAGATACAACAGTAGATAGGGAGAAGGCTAAGAAAGCGTGTTCACAGAAATGTCCAGAACGCTCACTTTTGTCCGCAGCACTAGAGGAGAAATACACGTCCAAACGCATGATATTGGCAAGCTGTGTGTAGCTAATGGTCACTTGGTCGAAAATAGACGTCTTGCAACTTCGCACGTACCACCACACTTGACCCAGAATTATATGAGAAATCACTGTTCGAATGTGACCGCAAATTTCCATGAAGCCGATTTGTAAACGGACCAACATGCCGCGAAAATCCCTAACTGCTCTATTATATCCGTTGACAAATCACGATAGTCGCCCGTGTGACGTCACTTTGTGCGAAATACTCATAGACCGCTCGTTTTGAGGTGCGGCAGGCGGAATGCCAACTCCTCCCAGAGTGCAATGCGGGGGCGCATTGCCTCATGTACCTGTCCCGTTACAAATCGGCTCATGCGGAAATTTGCGGCAAATTCGAACAGGATTTTTCATATAATTCTGGGTAAAGTATGTGGTTACCAAGTTGCAAGACGTATATTCGAACAAGCTCAGGCATTCAGCTACACACAGATGGCAATATCATGGCGTTTGCACGGTGTATTCTCCTCTAGATGCTGCGACAGAAAGTGGAGCGTCTGGAACTTTCTGTGAACACGCTTTTCTTACCCTTCTCCTATCTACTGTGTTCTGGCTGCATGCACAATTGCGCGTGCGCGGCTATTCTGCTTGCCATCGGGTGTAGTTAACGGTGTGAAGTGAAGTTATTCAGGTCAAATCAAACATTAAGGGACTATTCGACCTGTAGTGGCCTACTGTAGTGTACGGCTACTGACAAGTTGTATTTATTTAACATCTTTTTATTATTGAAACGCGTCCCAAGTGCCCCGGCGGGCACAATGGCTGTGGCTTATTAGTAATTAGGTTATGCATACGAGCTACTACAGTAGACAGTAGATCATTGTAGGGACAGTCTAATGACAGTAATGTAACGCCTACGGACTAACGATGTCCTCTTAGGGTATCTAAATTATATTTACAAAAATTGAACATAGCTAAGGCAAACTGAAACTTGGGCAGAGCACTGCCACAGCCACAGCCACAGGCACTTGGAACGTCTCAATAAAAAAACAATGGTAAATAAACACGAAATGTATTTGCTACGAAAGTCTTAATTAAAGGACAATTGAAGTCAAATTTTATAACTTCTGTAACGTTTTTATACATCGAAAATTACATTCAATAACGTACTTCCATTTTAATCCCCGGCGCCCAATTTGTAAGAAACACATGAATAGTAATCTCGGTCATGTGACGGTCACAGCCCTCGTTTGAAACACGCCATTATATAGCGTAACAGTGCTAACACGGCTTAGTATATGTTATGCTAGCGTGAAAGTATTGTTGCAGCATACAACAAACAATGTAGCCTGTAAATTTACTTATATCATTGTACAATACATATACCTGTGTGGTAATGCATTCACGGATATGATACATACTTGCGCTAGAGATGGTTTACATGTACAGATACATATGTAGATTCTGACCGAGCGTGATAAGTCCGGCTGCGATCAGTTACTCGCATGCCTCACCTGCGTCTAGCCGTCGAACTGTTCCTACAATAAACCCGGTCTTCTCAATTCTCAGGCAGCATAGGATACGATTCAGTGTACGTACTCATATAATTCACAAACACGACAAGAACCACCAGTATTTGTCTACAGATTCTATCTCGGCCCTACCGAAGTTCCATTCCGCCATGTTGGTGAGCTGCTTTCTGATCTTGAAGAAGTTTTGCGCCGACTCTTCGCCTTGCTTTTTCAGACGATTCTCCTTCAATTTCTTCTTGTGTATATTCGCAGCGCCCTCAAAATCTATATCCAACTTGTAAATCATTATAAATATCATCTTCATCTGAGTAATCACTGAGAATCAATTGAAATTTATCGCTTCTGTCTCCCGCTCTTCTACATCGTATACACCACACGCACTATGTTTACATAATGGCGTGTTTCAACGGGGCTGTAGACGTCACATGACCTAGACTAATATTCATGTCTGTTTGCTTACTGCGCGGATTTGCGAACTTGCGGCGCGGCGATTTGAAATGGAAGACGCTTATTAGAATGTTTCTACTATCCGTATACACAAACCGTATACAGAAGTTATAAATTTGACTTCAATGGGCTTCTAATGTTCTCTACCTCTATTCGCTTATTATTGCCGATAATCTACCTCTAAATGCCCGGCTTCACCAAATTCGCTCAGTACGGCAAACACACAAGTACACGCCACGCACGCCCTGTGCCCACAAACAACATGAATAAGAGAGTTATTCCTATCTTATTCCTTCATCTGACTTACCCAACTCTCTAAACCAGTAACAGCAGCTGTTCACCTTTGCTCTTGCTTTCGATGCGAAGCTCTACTTTGATTTGCAATTATCCGAGCACGCATACAAGAAGGAGAGCCGATTACCAACCGGTTACAAATGCCATAAAAACCCATCGCCTGCCCCCAGTTTAGTCAAACCTTAATAAACTTTTCCCGCTTGTATTCTGACGACCTTGCCAGTATATTGATTAGCTGTCTTACCTTCGTGTCATACTAAAACAGAAGCCGCACTGCCCTAGCGACTGCCCCTACCGCTGAGAGACACTGCAGCGGTGAAAAGATCGTATTTTCGCCAAAACCCGACTAGGACACATTACGTCAGAGCTGCGTCTCTCTCGCCCCGACAGTGATCTCCAGTGTGTTTGCTTGCGCCCGCCGCCCGGCTCGGCCGCTGGTGCCGTCAGCGCCCGATAGCTTGAGCCCGCTGCACTCCACCGTACCATACTACCCAGAGGTTTCACCCATACACGAGGTCAGGCGGAGGTCGGCGCGTGAGCCGTCGGCACAGTGGCGCGGTCATCACTATGGCAATCATAAACAGACGTCATTGCGGACAAGCGAGGCTTCCCGAAGTTATAAACCACCTTCGCGAGAGACTCAGTCGCCAGCTCTGACTAATGCTCTAGTCGGCGGGCGTTGCGGCGAAAATACCAGATCTTTGCACCGCTCATTATCTCAGCGTAGGGGCATCGTAGGGACATGCGTGTTGTTTTATATGAACAAAGGTAAGGCACAGCCTAATCAATGATACTGCAAAGGATCCGTCAAAATAAAACGGAAAAGTTTATTAATTCGCACTAATACTGCCAGCATGTCTTCAGATTTTACCCTCTTGTACGCCTCTCCTTCTATCTGCTCTTGCAGATACTCAATTTGTAGCCTAAAAATTCGCCATTATGTGCACACTAATCTTGGCGTGCCTAACTAGGCTTGGACCCCACAATTCTCTAGGAACCTGAGGGCCTGTTCTTAGCGTCCAATAGCCTTCTAGTCTGTAGTGAAATGGGCGTAATTGTTTTTGGTTCATGGCATATAAGCGCTGCGACCACAATCATTTTCGCGAATGTGCGACGTGCAAATGTGGACAGCTCATATCTTTGGTCCATGTTTTTGATCCCACACACAACCTACCTACTATTAAACTATATCACTTGTTGACCTCTAAGTACAAACTAAATTTCCTGAACAGTGGCTGGGTTTTGATCTGAGAATTGCACTGTAAGCTTGCAGCGGTTCCTCCCCTACGTGGCGCAAACCGCGGCGCCGCCAGCGGCCCCGTTCGGGAAAACTCCCCCTGTTTCAATCGTTGTGCCCCGTTAAATGAACCTCCGCCCCCGGCATTTAATTCCCAGCCACAAAAAAGTTCCAAGCGAGGAACTCGATTCAGCAACAGAATTCATTCGCCCAGAACAACAGGCAACGTCCCTACTTACCGTGCCACCATGCACTGCAGACAATACACAAAGCCACAAACAGTCAACACTCTGTCCCACACCCGAACACTAACCTGCTAACACCGACTCGGCTATCTTATATATACAAGAACCCACCAACATCACCCGGCGTCTGATCTGGCGGCCCGTGTCCGGGCTCTGACCCGGAGTCCCTACGCGCGCGCCCATTAATTGCCAGTCGCGTACGGTGAAAAAAACACGCCCCCGCCCCCCCCGGCGGCCGCGGCGCGGAGCCTCCGCCGCGCGGCCGGGCACGGCGACCCCCCTCAGCTTTCCCCCCCGCCGCACCGCTCCGCGCCCCCGCACGCCCCCCCCCCTCCTTCCCCTCCCCTCCCCCCCTGTTTGAATTTCATCCTGGGGAGAACCCTGAACTGTAAGTCTAACATTTAAGCTCTGCCATTTCAGTTCGTTACTGTAAGTTACAATAAAGGAGTATGGTAAAAATGTATTACATTCACATTTTTCCCAATTTATAACTTCACTCCTATGCACAAATAGCAGGTAGTTTTCTACCATCATGTATCTGGATATGATTTTGGGTGATCTAAGCTGTTGACAACAAAACACAATAGCCAAAATCGCTCTTCAATGTGTGCGTAGGTGTGATCTTATTGCAATAAAATGCTTGGTTAACACTTCCTAACTATTTTACTCTATAATGAAAGCCCTTCCATTTCTGGAGAAACTGCGGTGCAGGTGGAAGGTGGAGGTGGCATAGTTTATCAGGGTAGGCTATGTGGAGGATGTTACACTACCTGACAAATGTGAACTTTTGTACCGCATCTCTTTGTGTGTTTCTGACCATGTAACATTTAAATTCTAAGAAATATAGATCTACCATAGATCTGACTTTATTAACATCTTACCTACATCATAAAACAGTTGCCATGCATTATCAGTCTGAAATATCTTTCTTTTTATTTTGTAAAATATCCAAATGTTCTAAATGACACCAAATGTTTTTCAAAAGCAATCTCTGTTCTGACAATAAACATGACAAAACTCGATCTATTCGTATACATGCTACAACGTTGCTGTCTAGGTACCAAATGTCAAATCAAACTTATTTGACTACGTCTGTATTTCCATGGCTATAGCCATTATTATGCAGTATATAAATAACGTAGAAAAAAGCGGAATGTAAATAAAAAATCTGCAATAGTTTTTCTTCATTGACAATGAGTATGCATTACGCGCGAACTTTGAAAAACATACACGTTGGAATTGCCGATTAAATCCGTTTGCCATAGACAGATACATTTATTATTGATTATTATACAGTTATTTACATCGTCATGATGATGCTTGTGTTAATTTCAGGGGTGCGATATCAACGATAGTTGACGTGCGGTGCGAGTATGTCCGTGACGATGGCGGCTGCGGCGGCGGCGGCGCGGGGCGGCCTCGACGCGTACACGAGCGCGGCGGACCAGGATGCCAACACCGCGCTCATGGAGCTCGACGTCGGACTACGCTCGACGAAGACGGGCGAGCAGTGCGAGGCGATCGTGCGCTTCCCGCGACTCTTCCAGAAGTACCCGTTCCCGATCCTCATCAACTCGGCCTTCCTCAAGCTCGCCGAGGTGTTCCGCACGGGCGACAACTTCCTGCGGCTGTGCGTGCTGCGCGTGACGCAGCAGAGCGGCAAGCATCTCGAGAAGATACTCAGCGTCGACGACCTCGTCAAGAAGATCTTCTCGGTGACGCACAGCAACGACCCGGTGGCGCGCGCGCTCGCGCTGCGCACGCTCGGCAGCATCGCCGCCATCATCCCCGAGCGACGCAACGTGCACCACAGCATCCGCGAGAGCCTGGAGGCGCGCGACGGCGTCGAGGTTGCCGCGGCGACGTTCGCCGCGAAGCGATTCGCCGCGGCGTCGCGCGCATTTGCGGCGGACGTCTGCGACGAGATCGCGGACGCGGTGGACGGCGTTGCGACGCCCGTCTCCTCGAAGCTGCGCCTCATCCCGATATTCGAGCACACGCACGGGGACCCGCGCACAGGGGCGCGAGTGCGTCGCACGTGCGCGCGCGTGCTGCGGCTCTACCCCGCGCTCAACGTGACGCTCGTCGTGCTGCGCACGCTCACGCGCCTCGCCGGCGCCTCCTACATCGACGTCAACGAGCAGATCGCGCTGCTGCTCGCGTATCTCCGTGGCGACCCGCGCGCCGCCGTCAAGCTGCTGTGTCTGCGCGACCTGCGCCACCTGGCGGCCGTCGCGCCGCACGTCTGGTCGGAGGCGGACGTCGGCGCGCTCGTCGACTTCTGCGTCGACGGCGGCGCTCACCAGGTGGCGGCGCTGAAGGTTGTGACGACGCTGGCGGAGTCGCTGGCGATGGAGCGGCTGGACGCGCGTGCGGGGTCGGCGCTCGCGCGCCGGCTGCTCGCGCTCTGTGAGACGGCCTGCTACGACCTTGACGTGACCGTCGCCGCGCAGGCGGTCGCCCTGGCGACGGCCGTCGCCACGCGTCGCCGCGGCGACGACGACGAGGTCGGCAACGAACTCGCGCGCGTAGTCTGCGGAGCCGTCGAGATGCTGGTCGTCGTGGCGACGGCGGGGGAGACGGCGCGCGGCGGGGTGGCGCTACGCGTCGCGCTGCGCTCGGCCGTCACGCTGTGCCGCGCGCGTGAGAGCGTCACGGCGGGCCTCGCCGACGCGCTCGCGAGGGCGCTGGCCGTCGCCGCCGCGCCACACGATGCCGCCACCGTCTGCGCGGCGCTCGCGGCGATCGGCGGCGGCGACGCGGGCGCGGTCGCCGCCATCTTGCCGCGCGTGTCTGCGGCGCTCGCGGCGGCGTCGACGGGCGAGGGGGAGCATCGTCGCCTCGTCGTGCTGCTCACGTGCGTCGTGTTCCAGGCGTGTCGCGACGGCATCCCTGCCGACACGCTCGCCGTCGTCGAGACGGCAGTGCAGAGCGTCAACTGCTGGGATCAGTACCGCATCGCGAGGCAGGCGGCGAGGTACGTGGCGCCATCTACTTGCAGTGAATGTTGTTGATTGATGATCACTGTTAAGTAGCAGTAGTATCTGTAGGGTAATGTGTGGTGTGCGACAGGATGATAAAGGAATACGCGAGCTTTTACATTAGGGAATGTGGACAGGAATGAAAGCTAGCAGTAATCAAGAAGTATTTTTGACGATAATGTAGATGCAGCTGACAAAACTGGGTTATTTAAAATAGGTGGCTATCAGATACACGTCAGTGAAAAAAATACACGGTGGCTCGGGGCGATTTAGCCCCCGAAATGCCAAAAAGAGCCCCCGTAAATTTGCATAGAGTTCAATGCAAACCAAATTTTAGAGTGCTATTTTCATGCACGCGAGCTTGAAAAGTAGCCCCCAAAAAATAAATATTAATTTTTTTCCTGATACACGTGATATTATATCATGTTGTATATGTTATATTAGATACACGTGATATTAGATATAGGCGTTTCATGGTTTGTGCCACATGCACCGCAGTGCGTCACGTGTCGACTATTTGTTTACTTGGAGGTTGTTACTACACATCTAGATAGTTGTTGTCGCGTGAGTAACGCTCTGCGGTTTCCCTGCAGGTACGGTCACCACGGCGTTGCGAGCCGCATCTTCGACTCGCTGACGGCGTGCATCGCCGGCGAGCACCTCTTCTTCTGGATCACCGCTCTCAAGGAGTTCACGTTAGCCGAGTCGTGTCTGGTCGTCCCGGCCGGCGCCACCTCGCCGCAGCGTCGGCTGGCAGGGCTGCAGCAGGCCGTCGTCTCCTATCGTAAAGGCTTGTCGTCGCTGAAGGCGGCGAGCACGCCTGGCTTCCCGCTGCGCCTGCAGGCAGAGTTTGCGACGCTGCGTGCGGAGACGCTGCAGGCGCACGTTCAGCTGGCGCAGAGCTGCGCGACGCTGCGCACGTGTCCGCCGCCCGCCATCGCGATGACGCTAGCCGAGCCACTGCAGCGCGCGGGCAAGGCTGGCTCGCAGCTGCTGGAGAGCGCGCGGGCGTTCCACGCGCGACGCGCGCCACGAAGCGCTCAGCCGCGCCTGCCTTCGACGCTGACCTCCGCGTCGCTCACGCGTGCGCCGCTTGAGCCAGTCCTGGCCGCCTGCTGCAGCGCGCACGAGGCCGGTGCTTGCGACTCACGCAGCGGCGACGCCACGTCGCGCGGAGGCGGCGCGCCGCGGCGGTGGCCGCGGAGCGCGACGCGCACCGGCGCCTCGAGGTCGACGGACTCACGCGCGGCGCTCGCCGAGATCGGTGGCCCCCCCGCGCGTCACCGGCCGCGCGATCCAGCACGAGCACGTGGGGGCGCTGCTGGCGGCGTCGCGGCGGCTGCTGGCCGTGCGCCTCGCTGCCGCGCTTCTACTCCAGGCTGGCAGTCGACGACGATCAATGCTCGCGATCACGCCGCAGCCGAAGAGCGCCGGCGAGCGCGCCATCTGGGTGCACTGCGACGCCTACCTCGCGCTGAAGTAGAAGGGCGTCGTGCAGCACGCGCACACCGCGATGTCCGCCGCGTCTGCAGCGTCGCCCTCGCCGCCGTCGACGCTCACCAGAGCCGGACGCGGCGCGCGCTCCGTCGACACGAAGCCGGCGCGGCGGCGGCGCGCGGCGGCAGGGAACGAGCTGACGCAGACGGCCGAGCCACACAACGACTACTTCAGCGTACAATTCCTGCTGAGCTTCGCGACGCTGGGCCTGCACACGGTAAACATCGAGACGCGCGTCGTCGACGACGACGGCGAGACGTGGGCACGGGACCGCAGGCTGCGCTCAACCGTCAAGTCCTACATCGACCAGATACAGCAGCAGAACCAGCAGCGCGGCAGTGGCATGCAGTACCAGCCCCAGCGATCTAACGCCTTCCCCTAGACCACAGTACCAACAACAGCGATCTAACACCTTCCCCTAGACCACATACTAACCACAGCGATCTAACACCTTCCCCTAGACCTCAGTACAAACCACAGCGATCTAACACCTTTCCCTAGACCACAGTACTAACCACAGCGATCAAACACCTTCCCCTAGACCTCAGTACTAACCACAGCGATCTAACGCTTCCCCTAGACCTCAGTACTAACCCACAGCGAGCAACGCCTTCCCCTAGCACACGTACTAACCACAGTGATCTAACGCCTTCCCTAAACCAACATACTAACCACAACGACTAACGACTTCCCCTAGACCACAGTACTAACCCCGCGCGATCTAACGCCTTCCCCTAACCACAGTACAAACCACAAGCGATCTTACGCCTTCCCTGACCACTGTAGTAACCACAGCGATACTAACACCTTCCCTTGCACCACTCGTACTAACCACAGCGCACTAACAGCCTTCCCCTTGATCCTCAGATACCAACCACACGATCTAACGCCTTCCCCTAGACTGCAGTACTAACCACAGCGATCTAACGCCTTCCCCTAGACTGCAGTACTATTATTGAATCCTGATAGCACGCGCATTCCTTACATAGGACAGAGATTTCAACGCATTTCTAACACTGGTAGCAGAGTAGTGCACGGTGCACGGAGCAGTGTGGTACAAAGTGCACGGTATCTGCGACAGTGTGCTATTGAAATGCAAAATGGGACTCTTTTACAGAATTCGATTGTCAGAATGAAATATTTTGAGTAAAAATCGAGCTTGGAATATTTGCGTATTGGAATATTGAAGTTGTCAGAGAAGCTTACCATATTATATATTACTATTAAAATATCATTTGTACCAAGAGAAAAACTCGTGTTGTAAAAAAACGAACTATAAATAAAGTTCACATGTAGATATACTATATATCAGAGGAACATGTCTTTATTTCAGTCAATACAGCACAGTTAACAGAAAAGACGATCGTACACACGTGACGTATGATTACCAGATGTTCCATCGGACATAGACAAAAAGAGCATAAATATATAATATGATATAATGATTAATACTATATCTATTAAGTTCTTCGACTTGCAGTAAGCCATTTTTCATACCAACAGTTCGTCAAAGCGTTAGACGCCAGCTGCATTCTACCCTGATTATTTACAATTTTACCATGAAATCGTATGATTTAAACGAATACAATTATAAGTTCGCCCTATAAACGGGTACACTTAACGAATTAACCGACGAAGGGGAAGTGTTCTTAGATCACGGGCAGCACGCGTGAAGTAGTTAAGATACGTGTACAAACAACAGCAATAACGACGACGTCAACTGCTCAAGGCATTGTAATATCAAATCAATCACGGTGAACTAGAGTGACATGATGGCAGTGAGTGCCGTTAGGACAGGCTACCTCATCGAAACACATCTGTATGTATCTGTACGGTATCTATCTCTCTCACACGCGCATATAGGCGGGTAACATTACCGCATATCATACGCTAGGTTAGCTCTTGGAGTATTCATTCTGACGTGATCAGTCTGATGTGATTCTTGAGTGATCATCAGAATGATTACTCCAAGGTTAGCTATAGTTACTATAGCCTTGCGTTACGTAATGACGTGGTGACAGAACAGTCCGGTTACAGCTATTTGTAAACCAAAGCAAAAAATATCATGAGTTAAGCAGGAACATTTAAAATTCCGCCATAATCGCCAATGTACACGCAACACTATATGGGAATCTTAGTTTGGGGAGTGGTTATCCTGGATGGACCGCAAAACAACAACATTCGTTTTAAAACGACGACATTTGTAAGACACAATAAAAGGCACAACACAATTGTGAGTATTATCCCGAGTACGTTTACACGTAACTGTCTCTCTGGCATCTACGTGACACAAGTACAGGCGACTGTAAAATAAATATAATCTAAAAATGAACACAAAAATGGCGAACAGATTTCAGCATTTGTAGTTGGTTTAAAAAATAATTTCAAATTAGGAATTGAAAAACAATAAGTAACAAAATTAATCATTACAGGCGTAAAACGTACGACTGCTGGATACATTAACAGTAATTACGTTACGTTAAAATAGTCATTTATACATGTGTATATATAGAGAGAGAAAATGAGAACAAAATATGTTCACCGAAAACAGCGAAGAACCCTTCCTACACGGTTTCTGTCTCTAGACAAGTAAAATCGTCAACACTTACGGAAGTTGCTGCCGCTTGACAAGACAACTATTACTCTAGATTTACCAACATATCAACAATTCCATATACTGCACTTGAGATAAAACTACATCGACAGACACGCGGAACTGATGGCTTTATTAATTTGAAGTTGTGCAAATCGATGTTACAAATATTCGTCCGGCGCAGTAATCTGCCCTGTCTGTATACATCGGATTGACGTAGGACTTTCACTGTGGGACGCTCTTCGTGTTGATCGAGTACAAATGCAAGCCAACGTTCAGCACTCGATAACGCTATAGAGCAATCTCCTGATTCAGTCAGCGTTCGTTATCGTTCACATTCGTCAGATCAAAGTCAAGTATTACTCAAGCAAACACTTAATCATAATTTCAATAAGCTTTGGATTAATCATACGATTTGATGAATCTAATTTGTATATCATTAGTGCAATCCCCCATTGGATCACTAACTAGCTTTAATAGGTCTCTGGCTTAAATGCATTTTATGACACAGTAATAGACATCTATATTTCAACGACATATATCTTAAAACGTTATCCGTGACAAAAATATGTACAGTAAATTACATAAGCTCCTACATTCACGGCTGGTATAGTAGCCACGACAGAATTTAAGAACCTCACGATTTACGCATATATCATTCTGTTACAATGTCCGGGGTAGAGTGTAAGTACTAGACATGACATGTTTAAAAGCACGTATATAAATAGTTGCTTCTAACAGACGTTCTCATGCAAAAAAATCTCATCTAAAATATTGTCGATCTTAAACACGCACGATGTATTACAAAAACACGTAGAAATTAAATACTGTACAAAAGCAGCACAAAAGACATATCTGTACTAGCATATAGTGACGACGCATTACCACTGTCTGAAGTATATGATATCGTGTAAATCCTGCTACAATGCTCGTTACGTCACTCCTCTCAACAATCGGCCAGCACGTAGACACGTTTACCGGCTACAGCCCCCTACCACGTACTGACAAGCGCACCTCGCCAACGCAGGCGACAGTGACTTTGTAAGGCGGGTGCTCGGTGGCAGTAGATCGCCCTAACTACACATATAAACTCGAGCAAACGATATAGATATGTACTGGGGTCGTATTATGCCGTGTCAGGGAGATGCTGGCACGCTACGCTCACAGAAGACGCACACACGCACGCACGCACGTACGCAGACGCGCACGCACGCACGCACGTATGCAGATGCGTGTGTGCGCACGTACGCAGACGCACGCGCACGCATCGACGATAGAACGCACGTACGCACGTACGCAGACACGCACATACGCAGACGCGCGCGCGCACCGACGATAGCGCGCACGCGCGCACGTACGCAGACGCGCACGCACGCACGCACGCACGTACGTAGACGCGTGCGCGCGCACCGACGCTAGAACGCGCGCACGTACGCAGACGCTTACGCACGCACGTACGTAGACGCGTGCGCGCGCACCGACGATAGAACGCACGCACGCACTTACGTACGCACGTACGCAGACGCACGCGCGCTGACGCCAGAACGCATGCACGCATGCGTGCAGGAAGACGCACGCGGAGAATTGCTATTACAGTGCACTCCTGTCGTTGTGACAAACTCGCGCATGCGACTGCTCCACTTACCAATGATAGTTTGCAAGACAACCGTTGACCATTATACATTATGTTTATACTTTATGTATTTAGTCGTTATGGTAGCGATTCTGCTTGAGATTCATTTCTATGACGTCATGAGAATAAATTATTATAAGAAAGGCCACTGTTAGCACTACATGCGATCTAGACGTGTAGGACCTGTCGGAGTCACAAGCTGAATGGCCGTGTGGGTGGCAAATATTTACGAATGCAACAACACCGGCTGCCCTGTCCGTCGTGACATTCAACCATCGCAGCCTAAGCACGTGTAGCGTGCTGCCGTGCAGCAGTGAGGACAACTCGTAGCAGTAGAGACAACTCACTTTTAAACTGAGCTAGAATCAAAGCATCACTCCCCAGCACGTCCGTCTTGCAATTCCGAAATCCTTCTCATTGTCACGACCGACCGCTCTTGCTGATGAATTCGTCTGCTAGCAACCACTCCCCCCTTTCATAGCTACTGCCCACTACTCTCCCGACCACCACCCACGCCCACTTAGTTAAGGCCTGCGACCCCTTATCCACTGCCTGGTGTTGTCGTAGTGGTTTTCGCCTGCTGCTACCATCCGTGGCATTACCCCACGGATTGCAAACCCGCAGGCAGCTACCTGTTGTTGTAGCTGCTGTTGATTGTGACAATGTGATGGTGACTATAGAGTAGTTTGACCTTGTAGAGTAGCTTGACCTTGCAGGGTAGCTTGACCTTCTAGAGCAGCTTGACCTTGTAGAGTAGCGTGACCTTGTAGTGCAGTTTCACCTTGCAGAGCAGCTTGACCTTGCAGAGTAGTTTGACCATCTAGAGCAGCTTGACCTTCTAGAGCAGCTTGACCTTGTAGAGCAGCTTGACCTTGTAGAGCAGCTTGACCTTCCAGAGCAGCTTGACCTTGTAGAGCAGCTTGACCTTCTAGAGCAGCTTGACCTTGTAGAGCAGCTTGACCTTGTAGAGCAGCTTGACCTTCCAGAGCAGCTTGACCTTGTAGAGCAGCTTGACCTTGTAGAGCAGCTTGACCTTCCAGAGCAGCTTGACCTTCTAGAGCAGCTTGACCTTGTAGGCGCGCCGCCAGATCTCGACGAGGCAGACGGTCGAGTGGAAGCGATAGAAGATGGTGAGCGGCACGACGACGGCGCTGATGATCGTCCACGGCACAAAGCCGAAGAAGCGCAGCTGCACGGGGTTCTCGAGCGCGCGCCGCGGCTCGAACGTGTTGATCGCCCACATCGCCACGTTGCACATGAGCAGGAAGGTGACGAGCTCGCGGCCCGGCTTGCGCGTCTCGTGCTCGGCGCGGCACGAGTGGCGGCGCGACGCGTCGACGACGAACATCGTCTGCAGCGTCGCCTGCACGACGACAAGCACGGACGCGACGAGGATGCACATCGACTGCCACGTCTCCGGCTCCTGCATGCGCGCGAGGAAGTCGGCTGCGAGCGCGCCGCCGCCGTCGCCGTCGTCGCCGCCGCCGAACAGGCCGTGGTGGCTGGCGACGATGCCGACGAGCGCGTACGCGTACACGCCGACGACGCTCGCGTAGAGCAGCGCGTGGTCGAGCACGGCGCTGAAGTGCGCGTCGAAGCGCAGGCCCTGCGTGCGCAGGAACGCCGACACGACGAACACGGTCGCGACGAGGTAGAGCAGGATCTCGAACGAGTGCGAGGCAAGCACGCCGTACGCGCCGTACTCCGCGCTGCCGACGAGCACGAAGAAGAGAATCAGCGAGATGATCGCGAGCACGACGACGAAGATGCCGCAGAAGAGGCCCTTGTTCGTGCTGTGGCAGTCGGTGCGGTACTCCTCCTTCGACGTGCACTCGCTGTCTTCGTCGTCGTCGTCGGACGCGCCGCCGCCGCTGCCGCGGTCCACCGTCACGAGGCTGTCGATGTTGCTCCACATGGCGAGGAGGATCGCGGAGACGATGATGCAGTGTTCGACGAGCAGCGGGTACAGGTAGGGAGCCGTGTCCTCGATGATCGTGCCCATTATCGGGTGTATCACGCAGTCGTCACGCATCTCCCACGGCGCGAGGTCGTGCTGCGCCGCCACCATGCCAGCGCCACCTGCCAACGTAAGAGATGCCAAGTGTGAGATATCCGACGCTCAGTGACAGAGACGACAATGACAACGGTAATAGCGAGGACTACGATGGTAACAACAACAAAAACAACAACAATGAGGATGATGATGATGATGGCAATGACATATAATAATAATAATTTTCGTGTGCCCACTGGTCTAGTGAAGAGATTCACAGTTATTTATGCAGGTTGGCCGCGTGCAGGTCTCTCTTCTGAACAGGCCGTTTCCACCACTCACATCTGCTTTTTGGCTGAGTGTGTACCACTTTCAGAGTCTCTTGTGTATGACCCGGCCGGGTCGACCGCCCCAACCTTCCACATGCGAGGCGAGCACTCTCTACCAATTGAGCCTGGCAGGACTAGGCAATGACAACAACAATGATCATGATGATGGTGACGACAACAACAATGATGATGACAATGCCAATAACAACAACAATGGCAATAATTACATGAAACTTAAAGTCTGGAATCTGTGAACGAGAGATGGTGCGCTACGCCTAAATGATCGGCCATTTTCGTTTTGCCGAATTATCAGCCGCAAAATAAACAATAAAATATTCCAGTCAAACTACTGTAACAAGAATCTAAAACCATAGTTAGTACACGTATTATAAATTTGATTTGTAGGTTGTTAAGCAGTTAGACGAAATAAACGTAATAGGACGTTGTCTTCTCCCATAGAGTAAAACACTGTATGCAATTTTGAAACGATTGGGCGTCCGAAAGCGTTCTTGAGTTATCGTTGATCGTAGCGACACTGAAATGCATACGTGAAAATTGGCCAAAATCTAGACGACAATGTTGCATACTTAAAAAAAAATAATCAAAACACCGTTGTGATTATGTTTTGGGGCCAGTCCTGCATTCATTTCACAATACTAGAAATGAGCAAAATCTGTTGAACGCTGAACTGACTTATGGCCATTTCCATTTTAACTGGCCAAAAAGTGGACGTGGCATCGACATGTAGGTAACTGGCGTGCTCCAAAATAGGACGTTCAATGCCACTCCCATAGGAAGCTAAACCCCTATATGGCAATTTGAAACATGTGTGGTCAAACGGTTCTTGAGTTATCGTTGACGTAGCCAAATGTTGACGGACGGAACAGACGGACGCTACCGACGCGCGACACCCATGAGGCAATACGCTCCATCTTGAACGATGTCAAGGCGAGCTAAAAATAACAACTACGCATCACCAAAAAAAAAACTTGAGTGAAGCAGTTGAACAAGTAAACGTATCTCAAACACACCTAAGTAAGCCTATCACATTGAATGCAACAGATGGTTAAATACCCACAGGGCATAATAGGGCGGGAGAATTCGATATCGCAGACAACATGTCTACCTAGAACTGCCTTGACCCACGTGTCGGTCATTCTTCTTACCTAGAGGAGCCTCGACCCCTGAGTCGTTGCCGTTTGCCGGCTCAATCATGGTCGCGGTGACAGTCTCAACCTCTGGCTGGTTCAGACGTTTGAAGTTGACAGCGTGTACGATCTCCTTTATCGTCCAGCCAATCCACACACACAGGTTGGTCGCTGCCATGTGCATCAGCCCAAAACGTGCCACTCCCTTGTACTGGTGCACTGCCATCTGTTGGGGGAAAGAGGAATATTAAACAAGGAACGCTTGCTATGGACTCTTTCCTTGTGACCTTCACCGAACATTCACGGTTTTCACATTATTGCGCTTCCTCTCAGCTGGAACATATATAATACATACTGCACCTAGCACGCCTACGAGAATATGAGTGCTTATTGAACTCAACGACCTAGCTTTAGGGTTAGCACTAAGGTATTGTGTTGGATTAAGATTGGGTTAGGGATAGGATTAGCATTAGGGTTAGAGTTAGGGTTAGGTCAAGTGTTAAGGTTGGAGTTAGACATAGTATTAGGGTTGGAGGTAGGGTCAGAGCTAGGGTTAGGGTTAGGGTTGCTCCCCACCCGTGGTCTACACCTCATACACTTACCTTCGCATTGAGGAAGATGAAGTACAGTTGGAAGAAGAAGAACACCATGAGTGCGATGGGCGTGATGCCACGCATCAGGTTGAAGCAGTCCGAATTGTGCTGGATCTCAAAGAACTGTCCGAACCGCAGCCCGCTGAAGATCATGCTGCCGACGCCGAACACTGGAACACGCGCACGAGTACAACGTCACGCAAACGCGAGTACGACGGAGTACACAACTTGATGGAGATTAGTTATGTTGTGCCGTAGCGATACTTTCTGAGAGATCCTCAGTACTGTGAGCTACAAACGTGAGCATAGGCAAACGTCCGGTGCAATGGTTTATGTGAGCAATGTGGCGCGACACGTACCGACAGCGCCTACTCTCATGTAGAAGCTACCCGTGTGCAGCGTGTCGTCGTTGGTGTCAACCTTCTTGACACCCTGCGGCGTGATCTCGAACGTCTCTGAGCGGCAAGGGATCGCCGAGCGCCGGTAGCTGCTCGTCTTGCTGCTGCGCACCAGATACAGGTAGACATAGACGAGGAAGAGGATGCTGAATCCATACAGGTACACGTAGAAGCCCTGCGACACAGAAGTGTAAACATGAACATAGATAAAAACATAAACATGACCATGAATATAAATATAAATGTGATTATAAATATAAATATGAACGTGAATATAACTATGATTATAAATATAAATATAATGGATAGACACGTGATAATTAAAAATAAATGAACGGGCTAGGTAGTGTACCCTAGTTAACACCTACAAATATTGCTGCAGAGAGAGATATTAGCTGAGCCAGATATATCACACTGGGTATCTTCATCACATGATGTGTGCATGTGTGCGTGTGTGCGTGTATGCGCGTGTGCGTGTGTGCGCGTGTGCGTGCGCGTGTATCTGCGTGTGTATGCATCCATGTGTCTGTGTGCGTGCGTTCGTACATATTATACTCAATCACAGTAAAATTGTAATAGCAATTTAATTTATTTTATTTTAATGTAATTTTAAAAGCGCATAAGCGTTTACAGTTCGTCATTTTGAATAGATACACGTGCCTTACAGGCAACAAAGGCTCTTCATGCCCGTTCATTGTCCTTAGCACACCACACTTGGCTCATGCAAGCCACACGGACCTCTGCCAGTGCCAAGCCATGCAGGCACACTGACACCACGTAGTAAGCAGCAATCTCTGTCAATGCTGAGCCAGAACACGACACACCACACCTCCCTAGTAAAGCCAGCAATCTCTGTCAATTGGCTGAGCCAGACAGACACACCAACCTCCTAGGTAAGACAGCGAATCTCTATCAATGCTGAGCCAGACAGACAAACCCACTCCCTGTAAGGACAAGGAATCTCTGCCAATTGATGAACCAGACAGACACATCCACTTCCTATATTTAAGACAGGAATCTCTGTACAATGCTGGCCGGACAGACCACCCACTCCCTAGTAATCAGTTAATCTCTGTCAATGCTGAGCCAGACAGACAACACCCACCTCCTATTAGTAAGGAACAGGAATCTCTGTCAAGTGCTGGAGGCGAAGAACACAACCCACCTCCGAGTAAGCCAGTAATCTCTGTACAATTGACTGAGCAGACAGACACATCAACCTCCCTAATAGACCAAGACAGGAATCTCTGTCAATGCTGCAGCCAGACAAGACACACCCACCTCCCTAGTAAGCCAGCAATCGTATGTCAAATACTGAGCCGACATCACACCCACCTCCTAGTAAGACATGGAATCTCTTATAGCAATGCTGAGCCAGAGCAGAAACACCCGCCTCCCTAGTAAGACGGAATCTCTTCCAATGCTGAACCAGACAGACATCAATCCCCTCCCTATAGTAGACAGATCTCTGTCATGCTAGCCAGACAAACACACCCACCTCCCTAGTAAGCCAGTTAATCTCTTGTCAATGCTGAGCAACAGACAACACCACCTCACCTATTAGGTAAGACAGGAATCTCTTGTCAATGCTGAGCCTAGCCAGGACAACCACCCACTCCCTAGTAAGCAGTCAATCTCTGTCAATGCTGAGCAGACAGACACATCCACTCCCTCTATAGAAGACAGGAATCTCTGTTCATGCTGAGCAGACAGACCACCCACCTCCTAGTAGACAGGAATCTCTGTCCCAATGCTGAGCCAGACAAGACACACCAGCCTCCTATAAGACAGGAATCTCTGTCAAGGCTGGCCGGACAGACACACCCACATCCCTGTAAAGACAAGGAATCTCTGTCAATGCTGAGCCAGACAGGAGCCACACACTCCCTAGTCAAGCATAATCTCTGGCTCAATTGCTGAGCAGACAGACACACCCACCATCCCGTATAGTAAGACAGGACATCTCTGTCAATGCTGAGCCAGACAGACACAACCACCTCCCTAGTTACAGCCAGTAATCTCTGTCAATTGCTAGCAGGACAGACACATCCAACCTCCCTATAGTAAGACAAGGAATCTCTGTCCACAATGCTGAAGCCGAAGACACGCCCCTCCCTAGTAACGGCCAGCAATCTATGTCAATTACTGAGCCAGACAGTCACACCCCAGCCTCCTAGTAAGACAGGAATCTCTTAGTCAATGCTTGAGCAGACAGACACACTCACATCCCTAGATAAGGACAGAATCTCTGTCCATGCTAGCCGACAGACACACCACACTCACCTTAGTAAGACAGGAATCTCTGTTCCATTGCTGAGCCAGACAGGCACACCCACCTCCCTAGTAAGCAGGCATCTTGTCAATGCTGAGCCAGACAGACACACCCCAGCTCCTAGTAAGGACAGGATCTCTGTCAATTTGCTTGAAGCAGGACAGACACACCCCCTCCTAGTAAGGAGCAATCTCTGTCACATGTGAGCCAGACAGACACACCCACACCTCCTAGTAAGACAGCAATCTCTGTTCACATGCTGAGCCAGACAGACACACCACACGCTACCTAGTAAGCAGCAATCTCTGTCAATGACTGACGCCATGACAGACAGCCACCCACTCGACTAGTAAGCCAGCAATCTCTGTCAATGCTGAGCCAGACAGACACACACCTCCTAGTAAGCAGCAATCTCTGCTCAATGCTGAGCCATACAGATGCACACCACCGTCCCTAGTAAGACACGCAATCTCTGTCAATTGCTTGAGCCAACAGACACACCCATCCTCCCTAGATTACAGCAGCAATCTCTATCAATGCTGCAGCCAGACAACACACACCACCTCCCTAGATAAGAAGGAAATCTCTGTCAATGCTGAGCAATACATGACACACCACCTCCTAGTAAGCCCAGCCAATCTTGTCAATGCTGAGACAGACAAGAGCCACTCACCTATCCTAGCAAGCAGCGAATCCTCTGTCATGCTGATCCAGCCAGACACACCACCTCCCTTAGTCAAGGACAGGAATCTCTGTCAATGGCTGAGCCAGACAGACACACCCACCTCCCTAGTAAGACTAGCAATCTCTGTCAATGTGAGCCCAGACAGACACACCCACCTTCCCATATAGTAGAAAAAAAAATCTTCTGTCAATGCTGAGCCAGGCAGACACACCTCACCTCCCTAGTAAACAGCAATCTCTGTCATGCTGAAGCAGCAGACATACCACGCCTAGTAAGCCAGCAATCTCTGTCAATGCTGATGCCAGAACAGGACACACACCTCCCTAGTAGGACAGCAATCTCTGTCACTGCTGAGGCCAGGGACAGGACACACCCACCTCCTAGTAAGCCAGCAACTCTGTCACAATGCTGAGCAGGACAGACCACCACCTCCCTAGTAGAGCAATCTCTCGTACAGTGCTGAAGCCATACAGGACACACCCACCTCCCTAGTAAAGACAGGAATCATCTGTAATGCTGAGCAGACAGACACACCCACCTCTCCATCAGTAAAGACAGGAATCTCTGTCAATGCTGAGCCAGACAACCAACCACCTCCCTTAGTAAGACTAGCAATCTCTGTCAATGCTGAGCCAGACAGCACACCCACCTCCTAGTATGCGCAGCAATCTGCTGTCAATGCTGAGCCAGACAGGACACAACACCTCCCTAGTAAGACAAGACTCTCTTCGCAATGCTGAGCCAGACAGAACACCCACCTTCCCTAGTAAGCCAGCAATCTCTGTCAATGCTGAGCCAGACAGACACACCCACCTCCCTAGTAAGCCAGCAATCTCTGTCAATGCTGAGCCAGACAGACACACCCACCTCCCTAGTAAGACAGGAATCTCTGTCAATGCTGAGCCAGACAGACACACCCACCTCCCTAGTAAGCCAGCAATCTCTGTCAATGCTCAGCCAGACAGACACACTCACCTCCCTAGTCGGATAAAGAACCGTGAAGCGAATCTCACCTCGTAGAAGTAGATGTCGATCTTGTTGGTCATGATCTCAGCGATGGGAAGCACCGTGCCCATGCTGATGATGAGCAGTCCATAGAGCAGGCTCAGGGTCCTCCACAGAGACACGCTGCAACGAGCAAACCTCACTCTCAATACACTGACGCGGAAGATATCGGCAGAGGTGGCTGCAAATAGTAACCAAAGTTATTTCGGCATCTATTAGGACCGGAACTATTTATATTGACTACTATCATAGGCTTCGTACGATTTGTGCCCGTTAAACATTTACGTAAGACGTCACTAGGTGGCACTGTGATCACTCTGACTACATTGCCGTCGCACAGCACATTGAAAGTTTGCCGTGCATTACTGCAACACGAAATCACGATTACGGTGTTTAATCGGCTAGCTAATTCATTAGTAGAGTGTATTGTTAAGCAAATTCGCACTCGTTTTTAACAGCGGATTAGATTTATCTAATAACTACGTCATGTCTCTAATGTCAACGGTTATAAGGCTAAAACGAAATTCACGAAAGTCAATGCAGTATTGTTAAGTGAGATTCAACTCGCTAACCATATACGGGATCAACAGGTAATATAATTAATATAAAACGTAATGTAATATAAATAATGAAAAAACATGCATTCTTTTTACATTCGTTTTAATTCATACAGACGTTTGAATTAATACAGTCGTTGTATAGACCAGATGCTATACGTGGACATTAAATACAGTGTTGTCAGTGATATTGATGCCACAGAAGGAAGGCATCGGAATGTGCAGTATGTAGTGTGATTCCATCTCCTGTCAACGAGCTGTGCGTATATAAGAAATTCAGTGCTGCGTGTGGTGCCGTCGAGTCAGACGCGTACGAGTAGAGCAAGTGCCGTGTGTAGTCAAGATCTAACCACAGCTTACCACGCCCACCGTAACACACTATCACACACACAAAACAGCATACACACACACACGACCACGCACATCACACACGCGACGCACACACGCACGCATGCCCACACATGGCCGGCCCGCCGTCAGCCACGCAGCTGCACACGACGCACGCCACGCATCGCAATCCACGTCTACGCACGCACACAACAGCATACACACACATATGCACACACAACACACACAACACACACACACACACACACACACACATCACACACACACACACTACCACACACACACACAAACCTGCGTCTATCCACGGGCTATCGTCTGGCTGGCTTAACACCTATTACCCACAATATTCTAAAATACCCACACCATCCACACCTATTACCCACCACACTACCTCCACACCCATCCACACCTATTACCCACCACACTACCTCCACACCCATCCACACCTATTACCCACCACACTACCTCCACACCCATCCCACACCTATTTAGCCCACCACTATACCTTCAGCACCCATCCACCACGCTATTACCACGGTACATACCTCCACACCCATCCACACCTATTACCCACCACACTACCTCCACACCCATCCACACCTATTACCCACCACACTACTGCCACACCGCATCCAGCAACTATTACCCACCACACTTACCTCCACACCCATCTCATACACCTATTTACCCACCATCACTACCCCACTAACCCATCCACAGGCTATTTACCCACCACACTACTCCACACCATCCATCACCTATTACCCACCACACTACCTCCACACCACCACATACCTCCACAGCCCATCCTACATCGCTATTACCCACCACACTCCCTTCCACATCCATCTCACACCTATTTACCCACCACAACTACCTCCACACCCATCCACACCTATTACCCACTCACGCTACCTTCCACGACCCATCCACACCTAGTTACCCACCACACTCCCTCTCACCCACCCACACTATACCCATCACCACTACCTCCACACCCACCCACCTATTACCAACCACACTTACCTCCACACCCTATCCACACCTATTACCCACCACACTACTCCACAGCCCATCCACACCTATTACCTCACCACCACTACCTCCACACCCATCCACACCTATTAACCCACCAACACTTACATCCACACCCATCCACACCTATTACCCACCACGCGTGTCCACGGCCGCTTCACCCCACTCCTCCCGCAAATTCACGCAGAAATATTAACCCGATGCCGAAGCCGTATAATTGGTGCAATTCGCCGGCAAACCGTCGACGGACCTGTTTGCGTAAACCCAGCCCCGCCCCCGCCGCCCCCGCAGCCACGGCCACCGCCGCAGCTTCGCATGCAGTATGAATGCGAGCGCACGCCGCGTACGCTTCTCACATTACCGCGGAGCAGGCGAGAGCCCGCATTTCGATCGAACGCGTGATGGCGACGTATCGCCTCCGCTCTGCATTGAAAGCTGCTGAATTATGCGCAGAGTTTCTCATCACGTTCATTCCTAATTCATCGGCGCAAAAGAAATCGCTGCACGCGCGCCCTCGTGCGCGAATAATATTCACCGAGAGTCTCTCGCGGGAGCCGCCCCACATTAACGCAGACGTTAAACAACAGCGGCACCCCCCCTCCCTCCGCCACGGCCGCGAGCTGTGAAGCGCTAAGCTCTGCAGACGACCGTAGTTAACCAGCATGCTTCCTGCTGCTGCTGCGGGCTCCGTCGCGGCATTCACTCGCACCACCGCTGCTTTGCGCGCGTTAATGGCAACTCATGGAATTTTCATGCGGCTTCCCTGTTGAATGCGATTTCGAATCGGCGTTTGCCCTCGCCGCGGTATACGCGTGCAGCACGACGGTAACTTAATACGACTAGACAGATAGCAGTTGCAGCCGGGATCGCCGCGCGCTGATTCCTTACAGCAAGATATTCCAGTCCAGCAGTGCCTCGCTCCCCCTAAGCTCCCCTGAATGATTGCTCGCTGCTCATCAACGCGTAAGATCGAAAAGCCAATCGAAATCGTAATGAAATTAAGCCAAGTAAGCTCGGGCCCCAAGCGCTCCTGCATATAGTCGCTTACCGTGCAGATGGCGCCACGAGCACCTCGTGCAAAGGTGGCGCTATGAGCCGCACGCACGAAGTTGGCGCCACCAAGAGCGCGAATAAATATGGCGCCACCAACAGCGCGAATAAAGGTGGCGGCACAAGCAGTCCACACAACAGTGGCGCCGCCGCTGCAATCTTATCAGCGCAGCCGTGCATACAACATCTCAAAACGCATGCGGAGAAGGTGAGCAAGGTGAAAGAAACACTACACCAGCCGCAAGCAGCACACACACACAGACAGCTACAGGTCGTGTCACGAACAGGACACACGTCCAGTGCCATCACCATCACCAGTGTTCGGGGTTAGTGGCGCGGGTGGTGATGTAGGCAGAGAGTGGGGGGAGCATTCGACATCACCATCACCAGTGTTCGGGGTTAGTGGCACGGGTGGTGATGTAGGCAGAGAGTGGGGGGAGCATTCGCACAGATTTACCTTGAGGAATGCCGTACTCGTTCAACTGCTTGTTTTCTGAGTAGTAGCAAAGAGAAGCACAGAGTTAATAGAATGGCGCAACAGAGCGCAGCGAGACTGGACAGTTAACATAAGCTGAAGACAACGGAAATGACCACGTATATACACATATAATGCATGCAAAATTATACTCTGGAAATTGACTTGAATGAAAGCGGAGTCCAAGTTCAATATATTAAGACCTTAAGCATTACTAAATACCTAGTCATACTTTTATTTAAAAAAACCAATGATATGATGGCAATTCGTAGTTCACATTTAATATGAATATAAACACGGTATAGGTGCTAGTCAGTGCGGAAGACGTGCCACCACTTACTGTGGCAAATATATGTAGTTCATAATAGAGATAGTTTCTCGCTAACATCAAACTACATGATTCGGATTTGTAACAATTGGCTGGAAAGAAAGAAAATGCGCTTGGAAATTTTATTTCTGCAATTCAAAAGTTTTACGCATTGCTTGAAAAATTTCCTGCTGGGTAGCATGCGTGTTAATAAAACAGTGAACCGATAGAAAACGCACGACGGATAAATACGTACACAGATCAAATATAGCGAACGTGACGAGGTAAACGGCCACTTAAGTTACCAACGCGGCAGGCTTAATTACAATACATATTCCTATACTAATATGAAAAAGCACTAAGTTCAAATTAAAAAATACCTCGAAGCTCTCTTATAATAATATAGGGAAACAATAGCTGTAAAAACGTCCGTAAAGGTAACAGTCTCAATCAATAAAAAACCTTACATAATTAGTTTAAGTAATTTTTGCGTCAAACACCTACGCATCATATAGTTGCCAGCGTATGCTCTAATTTCACGTGCACTAGGAAAGCTGAGTAAGTTGAGAATTGCCGCTACACGTACGATGTGTGTAATCTATTCACACAGCTTCCGCATCAAGACTTTGCTGTCACGAAATTGGTCACCTCCGCAACAGCAGCGTCTTGATCCGGAAGCAATTAAGCCGACCGAAAGACAGCAGAGAAAAGAAGCAGAGAATGCTAGAAGTACCTTGGAGACAGACTGGTCTCGATAAGATGTCTGAAAAGCAGAAGATAGTGAGAGAAAGACGCACAGCACGCAGAGACGGCAGCGGGCGGTGTGAATGCAGGGGATATAAAGCAAGAGTCGACAGTCTACATACTGAGAGGGTTGGTGGTGAGCGAGAATGTACGAGACACATAACTCACTCGTGAGTTCGCATCTATCTGTCAGTGCATGGTTGATGGCCAGACATGCGGCAGACTCTCCTGACTAACATAACTCAACACGTGGCGAAGCCCCGCCCGTCAGCTCTGTTTAGCGGCGGCCATATTTAATATCATGTCAGTGGGGCTGAGAGGGTCTATGTCCCCCGGGGTACTGCCGGAACGTACCCTGGGTACGGTCCGGTATACCGTAACGTACCCTGGTACTATCTAATATGCCGGACCGTACCTCGCCTACTCCACTAACGAGTCTAGGGAGTCGCCAACGCCTACTCCCTAACCCGAACCCGAACCCTAATCCTAATCCTAACCCTAACCCTAATCCTAACCCTAACCATATCAAATAGTGACCAGGGTACGTTCCGGTATACCGACATACCGGCAGTACCCTGGGGGACATAGACCCTATGAGCGTCAGTGGGTAACAACGCGAGAGAAACCAACGTTCAGGTAATCCAAAATCGGGAAAAATTTATAATAGTGAAAATTCATGCGCTATGTATTTTGATGCACGAGATTGTCAAAGTCCCAAGCCCACCACCTCGCCTGCTCCTAAAGAAATTCTACCCCTTCCTTGCTCTCAACCTTTCGTCCTTACCCCTTCTCCAAACCGCTCCCTTTTCATACTACCAATCTCGTCCTTACCCTCCTCCAAACTGCTCAGCTCCCGTTCCCAACTTCATCTCTTCGTCCTCCGCTAACCCCCTAGCCCCCCTTCCCCAGTCCTTTACAACACGAATTGGAGCGATGAGCTTGACATGGCTCGTACTAAGATCTCGTAAAAGCATTTCGCAAAGAACTCGAAAAACCTTTCGGAGATAACTAAGAAATCTTCAGACCCTGGAAACGCAAACAAAGATCGCGATACATCGATAGCGCCCCCTCCCCCACCGCGCCCTCCCCCGCGCGCACCCCACCACCGCCAGCCAGGGCTTCCCCGCCTCTCCCGCGCCCTCCCCTGCGTGTACTCACTTCGCCTCCTTCGAATCCTCCTTGAAGTCCTCGTCCTTCTGTCGCGGCAGCATGGGGACGCGATCCTTGCTATCCAGGCTACAGCCGGCGGAAAAACAACAACAACAACAACACGGAAGAAATTATAGTGAGTGTGAGAGTGCCTCACGGCGCAGCCACGGTGTACGACGAACCCTTCAAGTGCGGACAATCGCCGTAAACTCTCCGCCTGCGTCTATCGGTCGCTCTCCACTCGGCTGTGAGTGAGCATCAGGGGGCTGCTCTCAGCACACACGCCGCTGTTAGCTCCAGCAGCGATTGTTTACATCAGCCCCCCCCCCGTGCTCCTCTCCCACCCAACCATTAACACTCTCGCTGCGTGAACAGGCGCTCTCTTTTCACTGTTTACAGAAACGCAGCGCGAATTTGTTTAAAAAGCGCGGATGCACGGACGCTAACGGTCTCGGCTTCCCCCTCCCCCCTTTCCCCCACTCCCCCATCTTCACCCCACCCCTACTCCCCCTCCCCTCCCCCTTCCCACTCCGCCATCCCCACCCCGCCACCCACGCGAGCAGCCGAACTGCATTAATGGCTGTTACGGAATTCATGCTCCGGGCAAGCCATCCGTTACCAGCCGCGCTCGTGTTAACTATTTACACAACTTTGACAGTCTTGTCAATTTGCTGGACTGCGTGGATTTATTTTAGCGTGCGGCGCGCGGCCAACGTACAATGCGGAAACAGCTTTATCACATAGGCACGATGGCTCCCCCTTGTGTCTGACAGCTGACGCGAGAGAGGCCAGCTGCCTGACTAAACCGAAAATTCCGACGACACATTTGCCACACCCCAATCGCGCACATTATCGCTTTCGCACATCTACAAATTCGTAATTTCCATTCGTATTTTGTATTTGTTAGTGTGCACTGTGAGTGTGTGACCTCGCAGATACAGCGAAACACATCGAGAGATAGAGACAGTAACCTTGCAGACCGCCACGCTCCTGCTTGCCCCCTCCCCCACCTCCCGCGCACCCACTACGCCCTGCTCACCTCTGATAATACTTGATGTCACCGTCTCCGATGCCCCTGTTGATGCGCTGCACCTCTCCCCCTGCCGGGTCCCGCGTGCCGTTCGCCACGGCGACCAGCTCGCGCGGCTCCCGCTGCTCCCTCTCGACCCTCATCGTGTAGGGGGCGCCGTGCTCGCCCGTGCGCGTCGTGTCGCCGCCTGGTGGCGAGTCGCGGCGCTGGGCGTCTCGCAGATTACCCGACTTAGAAGCGTTCTGCTGTAAGCAAGAGTGTAGCGTTGTTACGCCTGTAGCGTGCGCACAGAAGGAGCGCGGGATGTGCCCGACTGTTGAAGGGAGTGGAATGTGACCAGGGAGGGGGGGTGTTCATTCTCAGATCCGCGGATGAAAAAGTCCCTGATTCAGTCCCCCGAAGTTCAGTTCCCGATTAATTAAAATTGCAATTTCAGGATTTCCCGCGTCTCAATCGACTTTTATTCCTGAGCCCCGAAAAATATTTATCGGGTGTTTCCTGGTTCCCAAATAATTGAGATGGTCCAATTCCGCATCCAAGAAATAAGCGTTACCACCTCATATTGGCTTTATCGTTATCTTTTACTGACGTCTTCTAGGTATAAGTCGTCATAGGTGTCAGTAACCTCAAAACTAGGGTACCTTAGGCATGGATGTTGGTAAAGTGTAAGCTATGGTTTCAACAATTTCTGGATTATAGTAACCTGGTTGGGGGAAGGGTTGGCAACCAGGAAATTACCACATCCTAGATGGGAATGGGGGTTGTAAACATGGAAAATAGTTTATCCCAGGTTGGAATGGGGGATAAAAATCTTATGATTAGGCTATTGCTGGTAGATAAGGGGGTTGGAAACATTTAGGATAAGGTATCATAGGAGGGAAGAGTGGATGTTGGTAACCGGAAAGTCAGGGTTTCCTGGGACGGGAACGGGATCTTGGTCTCACCTATGAGCTAGCTATGTACGAGCTGTGTGGCAGGTGCTGGCTTACCTGTGAGTTAGAGCGCGAGGCTGCGCGAGGGTTGGGCTTCGGTGGGCTTGCTCTCGCACCAGAGGTGAGCGTAGGGTTCTGACCGCCTACACCCGCCGCTGTAGCAGACGTGATGCCCTTCACGGGAGGCGGACAACTGCTGGCCGCCGCCGAGCTGAGAGCTACGCAGATAACAGCAACGCACGTTCACTTACACGCGAGAGAGCATCGACGTACAGATAGAGACGCCAACAACACATCGCATCACATCGCATCGCATCGCATCACATCACACACATCGCATCGCATCGCATCGCATCGCATCGCATCGCATCACATCACATCACATCACATCACATCGCATCACATCACATCAAGAGTAAGATAATATAGGATATTATAAGATCCTATATTATCCTATAAGAATATAAGATCCTATATTATCCTATAAGAATATAAGATCCTATATTATCTTACTCCTGATCACATCACATCACATCACATCGCATCACATCGCATCACATCACATCACATCGCATCACATCACATCACATCACATCACATCACATCACATCGCATCACATCACATCACATCACATCACATCACATCACATCGCATCACATCGCATCACATCACATCACATCGCATCACATCACATCACATCACATCACATCACATCACATCGCACATCGCATCACATCACATCACATCGCATCACATCACATCACATCACATCACATCACATCACATCACATCGCATGCTTTTCGTCTGCGAGGAGCAGGGTATTATCGCATCAGTCCCCACTTTGTGATGGGATGTAATGTATTTTCGGATTGCTGCAGGATTCTAAATGCCGTATTATGAATGATGACGTGACGATAGGTTTCAAAGATGATCAAAGCATGCGCTAAGTGGAGAGGTATGCTCATGCACACGTACGCGCAGAAGACACCGTCGCTTCACGCAAACGCCACGAGCACGGCCGCACGCACGCACGCACGCACGCAAAACGCACGCACACACACACACACGCGCCAATCACGCGCCTCATGTAAGCACAAACACAACACACGCACACACACGCACGCACGCACGCACGCAGAAATATGCACGCACACAAACACGCTTACATAAAAAATACACACACGCATGCACGAGCACTTACAGAGACACAACCCCCCCCTCGCGCGACGCAGTGCTGCGTGCGTACTTACCGGGCGTGCTCGTGGCGGCGGGGGTCGGTGTCGTGTTGATGACCGGGTGAGGGCCGTGAGCCAGCACCGACGGGCCGCTCGTCGCCGCCGGCGTGACGTCACGCTGACTGATGTTCGTCGGCTTCGGCTCGACGGGCGGCTTCTCCTTCTTCAGCTGCGCCAGGTGAGCTATCGGCGTCTTCTGGCCTCCGGGTGGCACCCACCTAAAATTCATTCACCGTTAGACGACGGCCCGCTGTTGCCGAGAGGTTGTTTCACCGAGTTTCGAAATTTTTATTTTTATTTTTTTCAATCGTTTTTGTTGTCGATTGATCCTGCCGAGTTTTTTGCAGCGGGAAAATTATTAGTTTTCTTTAGGGCTTACTTGCCTAACCGGAATCGCATTGATTTGCAGAAGAAGATTTTCTTCTTGAAGATTTCAAGATACATTTCATACGGTCTGAAACCTACCCGCACTCAACGCAGGCGCGGTAAGGCGATGGAGTCGCCACGTAATATCCTAGATCACTCCTCTGCTTATGCATTTCTCACTGCGTATAATTATACGTATATCTATGCACAGGTAAGCGTTAGTGTGTAGTTGCACCCGAGTAGGCGGCACATCACAACACTCGGAAGCACGTTATATATAGATATATATGGATATACGCTGCGGGATCCACAGGTTTCAGTGGGATTCTCTGCCACTGCCGTCTCTATGTATATAACAGCTTACACTGATTGCAGCTGTGCAGCGGAAGCAGGCACACCCTCGCCGCGGGGAAGCAGCGCGCTTAGATGAAGCTGCGAAGCTCTAAGATGATCTCCTTAACAACAATTCACAACTTCTTTCGCGCGCTCACCGCTCAGACGCGCGCGCCGACACGTGGCACAAAGTACATCAACAAGCCGTACATCCGCCGATTAAAATACGGATCGAGGCAATCGGTCCGGATACGGATTCCCGGTATACGGCTAAGATGCGCGCTGCGCATCGATGACCGAGACGAATCTGAAGCCCTTCTGCCTCGAGCGGATGAGTGCGCCAGCATTCCCCGTGCTGCATCTCTCGCTACTTCTCGCTATCCCTCGCCCCGCTCGCGAGAGAGCCCCCCCCCATGCAGCCTCTTCCCTCCTACTCCTGCTATCCTAAAGTCATCAGCTTGCGGGTTTGACGCGTGTTTGTTTACGCGGTGGTTTTTGCCGCCGCGCTACTGCAGGTATTCATTAGTTCGGCACAGACACCGAATTGATGAGCAGTGAACGCAAAGGCTTTTTGCGGAAGCTGCGAGGTTGCTGGGCGGCACGGTCGTCATCTGGCGCAGAAAGACCGGCGCGGGAAAGAGAGATGTAGAGCGGCGGCGCGCGCACGTGCGTGATGCATGATGCGCGAGAATTCCGCTGCCGACGCTGACAAGGATCTTAACCCGGAAGGCGCCGGAAGCGAGCGTAGCGACGGGAGGAGTCGACAGGATGATTCCTGCACGTGTGAGCAGGGTTAGCGACCGCGGGGAGACATGCCGCCGGTGAGAGGTGCACATCATCTATGGAGCGACACAAACTCCTGAAAGGCAACCCATCCGGAATGCTTTTAACTCGGAATCACTTTCATATGCTATTTCATTAAACAGATGAAGCCATGATTCGAGCTTCGTGAACCACCCACGAAGTAAATGGCTCAAATGTTATCACGACAAGCCTACTCTTTCCATACACCAAATGTTTCTATACATTTCAGCTGTGCGATAAAAAACGTTCGATATGTCAGAGTTAATAGTTACTTAGAAAAAATAGGTTAGGGTTAAGCAGCACAGGGCTTGTGAAAGCGAATGAGCACAATGCGCACGCAACGACCATTAACTAAACGTCAATAATGAATAATTGATATATAGCTACAGTTATTACTATAGAGTGTACTCTGTGCCATCGCTCTCGGCGATAACTCTATTCCTATTGGCCGAAAGCATATATCAAAATATACGCTGAGTTTGTACAACTGCATTTACGTGCACGCGATCTGCCAGGCTTATTGTAAAAATAGCTCGATTATAACATAGCCCTGCTATATTACACCATGGTAGCATAAATAGCCGTACTCATTCTCACCTGCGAAATACTTTTTAAATATACGATACGATAACGATAAACGTTTTGTAAATATTTTAATGCTAAATGTGGAAGTCTGTTGCTTGCTGACTCATGTTCTTAATACAGCTGTAGGCCAGTGCTGCCACATGAATCACGAATGGGAAAAAATCAGACACACAAATACTGACATATACATGACACATAGCAGATGTTCTAAAGCTAACAATTCTTATAAAATAAAATGTTTAAAACAAACAATTAGCCTAGTTATAGTTGAGAAATATTTTGGACGTGCGTCTGTCGGTATACATAACGGAATTTCGGTTGGCTGCCTGTCATAGGTAAAATTCTTCTCTTCAGGCGATCAATTACAGACAGAAGACACGCATTTACACACACGCACACTCGCACGCATACACACACACGCACGTACGCACGCACGCACGCACGCACGCACGCACGCACGCACGCACGCACACACGCACACACACACACATACATATCAACGGTAAATAAAATATCCGCCACCACGAGCACTGCAATTTGGCGTGGGCTATGATTGTCCAAAATGTCGTCTATGTCGTTTGTAACTATGTAAAAAAACTGATTACGGAAATGGGTTAGTGTATGTTTAAAGTAACGTCTAAGTTCAAGTTTACTGATCTATGTTTAAGAACTCATAAGTAGACTAAGGTAAATATGTGTAATTGTCATTGTTCTCTCTAGTAGTACACACGCACAAGCCATGGTACCATTTACTCCTGACTGTACGTATAACGAAACAACTATTGCCTGGTTGTTAGAACAACAGTTGTGTGGACATCGACAATCAATTTTACCCTCAACTTCTAGTCCCGG